ATTCCTGGAAGATAAATCCTTCTAATGACACACTACACTGCGATCAATTTACTTAAGGTGTTGTGGAGAACACCCCTCATTTTTGCTGAACAAAGAGACAGTGCTGTATACCAGAACCAGTGTTACCCCCATACTTCACTCCTCCCCCAAGCCCTGACATTAAAGTATGTCTTTGGGGTTTGCTAAGTAGAGAGGAGAGCAAACCTCCATCATTTTTTCCCAATTGCAAAATCAATGGGTAGTGCCTGGGGAGTGAACAGGGCTGGCTGTGCTGTGTGCTATAATCCAATCTGGGTCTATAATTCAATATAGTCACACGTGAAGCCCAGGCAGCTCAGCCCATGACCCAGGAGCCTTAAGATAACAGAATGTAAAGGTCTTGTCCCTTGTGTCCCTTAGGCAGTATCTGATGGATAGGGAGCTGCCTGGCTTGCCAACAGAGACACGATAATGGGATCAGCTCCCGCACTGAAGGAAAGGCACCACCATATTCAGCATCTGCCTCAAAAAACATTTTGCTATTTCCTGGGTGTTTAAAGGAGTTGGCAGTACAGCATTGCCCCTTCAGGTGCAGCTCTAACATGTAATATGCAGCCAACGTCCCTGTGGGCCTCAGGAAACAGTAGCTTGTTTGAGCTGTAACAGTGCACGTTTTGATATGCCCCATGCTGAACCCCCTGCTTGGGGGCCAGTGGGTTGCTCCCACCCATCTTAAGGTGCCTCTAGGTTGCCAGAAAAGGTGTCAAGGGGCCTATGCAGAGCAGAAAACTAGGTCTAGGATTTTTTCTCATACCTGGCCCCGGAAAGAAAGCAAAAGCCCTCATTCCAGTTCCTTGTATAGGAGACAGGGAGAAGGCCATCCTCCACTTCCCAGAGAAAACCCCCCCCCCCCCCCCCCCCCCCTCCACCCCAGCATAATTCCAGCGAGATGGGGAGTTGAAGAGACCACAGAGATGTACAGTGAAACACTCCAAATTTAGGTGATGCCAAAATGTGCCACCTAAGCACAGCCCCCGCTTAATGCCCTATTGGGCAGTCTTTTAATATTCCATTGCACACTGTGATTTCTACTGGACTCCTGTCTCAGACAGATGATAGCTTTAAATGTGGAAGGCAAGAAACACGACGAAGAACACAACAGAGCTTGCTGGATTTAACAAGAATTTTAAGGCATCAAAATAACTCTCATAAGAACACAAGGCAACTCTCTACCCCGTGAGCTTTTGCCCCCCCCTCCGTAAGCTATCTACCTTTGTCCATTTTAGCACAAAGGATTGTTTCAAAAACATCACAACAGACTTCAATATAATGGGAAAAAGGGAGGGTTGTTTGTTTGGTTTATTTGAACTCTACATGTTTTCAAATGGATAAACCATTTTTACACAGGCTCTCGGGCAAAATGTACCCCTTGTTTGAGATTAGGGCTTGAAAATTTCAGTTTAGTAAATAACATTTTAAAAATGTTATCAGCACTTGAAAACAAATGCTTAGAATGGAAATGCTTAGGAAACCTTAACACTAACTGCTGCTAATGCTCCAACTTTGAGGCTGTTTAAATCAGAAACTGAAAACTAATTACATATATAGCTGGTCAGGGATTGTGATCTAAACCTAGAAAAAAATGCAATGAACACCAGAACATTTTAATTTTCCTTGATTACAAAGAAATCAGATTTTCATCAGGAAACCCCAAACCTGAAATATTTAAGCAGTAAAGGTTTTAAGCAAGGAAAATATAAATCAGTTTATGACCAATAGTTTGAAGTTTCAGTTGCTGAAAACTGATTACTTTAATCTTTTATTTTTCATTGTATCAACAAAACCTGTAGAAATTAGTCTAAAATAGACATTTCCCAAAGACATTTCAAATAAAAAAAATATTTTTGGTTGAGAAACAGTTTGAATGAAACATTCTGACCAGATGGATCTACATTTAGCTTTCTCAGAATTACTAGAAGGGAGAGAGTTGATTATAGCATTAGTATTTAAAGGAATGCCCATTTCTTTGGTGCCTGTTATAATTAGGTTCAGAGGAAACTAGACATGCAGTGAACTCTCAAAGTTACTTGAAGCATCAGTAAAATATAGCATCATTTAATGCAGACTGCTTGGTGTAAAGAAATCACTGAGAAGTAGACACCTGACCCTGTCCAACACCTGAGCTCAACTGACTATAAATATGTTGCATCACATTATGTTAATATGCATCACGATTCTCTCAAAGCAGTCATGAAACCTTGTGCCTGAGACTGGATCAAAGCACAAGAAAAATTAGGGTCTTTCAGAGAGCATTTCTGATCTGCATGATGCCAGAATTCTTCTGGGATTTCACATGAAGTGCTAGAAAGGCCAGTGCAAAGGCAAAAAAGAATCAAACGTGCTTTGCAGTAGGCAATGGGATGACCTACCTTCCCTATCCCAGAGCTCAGCTGCAGGCTGGTCCTTCAGAGGGGATGATCGGGCTCTGTATTTGGAAAAAGTGGCCATTTTTCAGTTTGTGTTTGGAGGTTGATTGCCAGCACAGATCAAAGTTCCTACTTTGACAAGTGCTAATGTGACATTTCTCCATTGGTAGACTGGACATAATTACTGGGCCTGTTGTTTAGGACCCAGCAAAAGGGTAATAACAGCAGGGAGCCCACCTACCCAGATACACCTGCCTGATGAGACAGTGACAGTCAGGAGGGATTTGTATTGTAAGCTTTTCCCACTGTCTCCTGTGAGTCTGAGGAGATTAGATTGTCATTTAATTGACCAAGTTCTGAAAATATTCTCCTGCTCTTTGGACTACAGCTCTCCTACCTAATGAGATCTCTTTCAGCAAGAAAAGTGCCTTCTTTGCATTGGGCCTCATTGCTGGATGCAGCGTGTGTGTTCTGTCTTAACATTCCTTGGGAGAAGCTATGGCACCAAACCTTATTAAAGTAGCCTCACTGTGTCTTCTTCAGCTTTTGTTCATGACACTTTACCTTTACCAGCTATTGATTTTTGCGTCAGCATGCATAATACAGTGCAATCCTGGGGCATTTGCAGCCCTGTATGGGTTTTAATATTCTGATAGGATTCATTCTAGCTGAAGAAAGAAGAAGCATTATTTGTTTAATTTTCTAAGGAGAGGAGTTTTTAGAAGAAGCTCAAGTGCATTGAGCCTGCAACAATGAGAGAATTTTTCAGGGCCCTGCAGTTCTGACAGTAGCTGACAGGGGCACATCTGATGTGTGATTCCACTCATTCTGCTTCAGTGTTTTTGGGTTTTGAAATGAAACATTATTTATGAATAGATATACTGATTGTTTAACATTTAGTGCTTGTTGTAACAAAATGAGATGTGGCAGTGATAGCATCTGCCACAGGCAAAGTACTGCCCATGGACTTTTGAGTCTACTTTGTTCCCTCAAATGATATCGCATTTCTATGTGGGGAAATGAGGTCAGTAAGGCTCGGTATAGATGTTCAGGGAGGTTAAGGGGAGGTTAGAGCATGTTAAACATGGCCATCTGATCTAACTTAGTTCACCCAGATGTGGACCTTACACTTAGATTTTACCTAACTAGGCATTTAAATGTGAACTGTACAGAAGTTCCGGAAGATTGGTTTAAAAATGGCCGACGCGGTATCCAAGGTAGTCTGACTTGGATTCGGTCAGATGTGACCAATCTAAATGAACTTCTGTACAGTTCCCAGCACAGCCCCGGGGCTGGAGAAAACCAGCCACTGCCCCGCTGGCACTGAGCTAGTTTTAGCCCAATGGCCCCTTGCCCCTCCCACAGGTGGACAACCTTCCTCTCCCCTGCAGATCAGTCAGCTCCCCTGCCCCAGCCCGCCAAACCCGCTCATCCCGCAAGCCACTCCCAGTGCCAGTTTTACCAGTGTTCATTGGTGCTGGGAGCCAAGGAAGTAAGTTGGGGTGGGGGCAAAGAGCGAGCAGGATGGGATTGTTCATTTGGGGGTGGAGTGAGTCAGGGGCTAAAAATAGCCCTGGCTCCAAAGGAGGGGAGAAAGACCCCCAAATTAGGATTGGAAAGGATATAAGATAGGATTTTCAAAGAAGCCCAAAGGAGGTAGCCTTCCTAGCTGTACTGACAAACTCCATTTGGGGATTAAAACAAACTTTAACCAGTGGGGATTCATACACTTCTATGATTATCCCATCACTGCACATGGCTGGGCTATGGCCCTTACCACTGAAGAAGCTGGTAATGACCGGGGAGCCTGGTTTTCTCTGATTAAAAAAAAAATTGCAAATTCCCTGACAGACATTGCAAATGTCATCTCTGATGATAACCCCCAAATCTGCGATTAAAATTAAACATCGCTATTTATCTAGATATCAACTGAGCATAATGTTTTATTGCTATATTCACAATTTTAGAGCAATATGGAAGCCTACCAGTGCCTCAATCACTATAATAAAATAAATTCTAAGTACCTTTACATTTTGGTATTTGATTTTGGGTTTTTAATCATGGAAACTCAGAGCTCCCCTTGCCCCCTTCACTCACCAGGGCCCAGGTCCCTTACTCCTAAGCCATAGCCCCTCATCCCTGCTTGTGCCCCTCACCTCCCATCCACAGCCCTATAGCTCTGCTGATGTCCCTTACTCCTCAACCACAAGCCTCGACCCTTGCTGCTGCCCCTTGCCCCTGCCTCCCCAGCCCTTCTGGAGGCATCCTCCAGCTGCCAGAGCTACAGGGCCAGGGACCCAGGTCCTCAGCCCCCTGCCCTATGCAGCAGCACCTGCACATTGGCTGCCATCTGTGAGAGGCAGTGGCTGGTGCGGCCTGAGTGGGGAGCAGAGACCTGAGTACAGCTCCACCCCCCAGACAGCACGGCTGGAGTGAAGTCTGGGGCTGGCTGCTGCAAGCTTGAGGCTGCCCACCCACTCTGCTGCCCTCCCCCCAGGGCCTCCGCGGCCCAGTGGGTGGGACCTGGCACAGCAGGGCAGAGTTGGGCCTTGCTACTGTAAGCCCCACGCTGCCCTGCTACGGTTCCCTCTGCCTGCCTGGCAGCAGCAAGGGGCACAACTCTGCGCTGCCATCCCTGCTGCTGCTGTTTCACCAGGTCAGCACAGGGCTTACAGTGGCAAGGAGATTCTGCACCTGGCCTTGCTCTGCCTTGTCGTGCAAGGCCCTGCCTGCTGGGTTGTGGAGGTCCCAGGGGACAACAGCAGGGTAGGGAGCCTGAGCCTGTAGTGGGCAACCTGCCCCCACCCCATGCACAAATCTGTACCCCTTTTGCCCCCTCTGGGAGTGCGTGCAGTGGCCAGGAGACAGTCCCATCCCCTACCCCCTGGATGAGCTGCCTATGCCTCCATCCCACTCCCCACTGGGGCCCTGTGGCCTCGGGCCCCAAGCCCCACACACTGCCTGGCTGGGAAGCAGTCCCAACCCTGCCCAACTCACTCCCTCTCTTCCTCCCTGTGGGGGCCTCAATTCCCCTCCCCAACCCCAGCTGCCCCCACTTACTTGTGGGAGCTGTTCTCTGGGTTGCCTGGTGGCCATGTGCATGTGCATGATGCCTCCTGCCTGACCACCCTCCTCCTGCTCCCTGCAGCCCCCTGCAGGCTGGAACTCTGCCAGCCTGCATTGAGCTCTTTGCAAAAGTGGAAAATCCACGTTTCTCGGTTAACATGAGAAATCCGTGTTTTTCTCATTTAAAAGGGAAACATCTTGGTTTTTTCCCCGTTTTCCCATGAGAAACAGAAAACCCAGATCCCTGCTGAGTACTGTCACTTTGGGGTCCTTATCAAGTCCTCATATTTTCTAGCACAAACTAATATGACTGAATGTGCTGGGAATGTAACTGAAAACAGCATGTCTCTCCCTATGTTCACTTCCTTTTTTTTTCTCACTCTCCCACACAAACACACACATACACAAACATGCATGCATGAACGCACACATGTGCAATCCTCCCCCCGGTTGAGCTCCAAGCATGAAGTGAATTTACAAACCCACATACAAAAATATATTGTGGAGTATCATGCACAAGCCCCTGTCCATTCCCAGTACATCTCTTTTTCCACCTTAAGTCCTATGTGTTTCTCCACTGAGAGGTTAAGGGTGGTTGGGAGAATGTATGAGGAACAAATAGGGAGATGGAGCTGAGGCAAGCCTGCCTATTGAGAGGTCTGGCCAAGTTCCAGTTCACTCTAGAAATCTGCAGTTAGGAACTGAAAAGCCTGCAGAAAGGCTCCTAGAAAAGAGCTGTCTAGGCCTCTGTGCGAATGCAGATCTGAGTGTAAAACTGCTTGGTGTAGCACTATCATCACTGTCAGTGTTCCTCTGCTTTCTCCTAACAGAGGTATGACAAGGCTATGACACCATTCACTTGGAGCCAGTGCCAAAATCTGGGGTCGTACTAGCTCCCATTCACTTATACTGCAAAGGATGCTTTTGCTTTTATGACTATATCACTGTGTGGTAGGTACCCTGCAGTCTGCAAGCACAGCACGGGCCATGTCCTAATATATAAGTCAAGCAGTGGACAAAATGTTGGGCAAATGGGAGAGAGTAATCTGCCATCTCTTAGCCATTTGTTATTTTTATATCACCCTGTGGCAGGATGGTGTGGCCTGAAGCACCCCAAACTTGTTTTTTAGTATTGATTCTGTTGGAAATGGATTAAATGGATTCCAGTGAACTGAGATGACTCATTAACCCTCTTGGATGAAAGGGAGTTGGGAGAAGCCTTTTGGAGACAAAGGATCTGAGTAATTATAGGCCAGTCAGTCTCACCTCCATCCTTGGAAAAGTCTTTGAAAAAATTATTAAGGAACATATTTGTGTGAGTCAAGTGGGAAAAATAATGCAGCAGGGCAACCAGCATGGATTTGTAGCAGGTAGATCATGCCTGAATAATCTGGTTTTGTTTTATGACAAAGGTCACAAAATGCTTAGACGCAGGAGTAGAGATGGATGTTGTTTACTTGGATTTTAGGAAGGCTTTCCATACGGTATCTTGTCCTATTCTCATAAATAAAGAGGCTGTGACCTAGATGATTACACAGTCCGGTGGGTGGCAAATTGGCTTGGGGGTTGCACCCAGAAAGTGGTATCAACTTGGAAGGATGTGGGTAGTGGGGTCCCTCAGGGCTCGGTCCTTGGACCTGTACTCTTCTATGTCTTCATCAGCGACTTGGATGTGGGCGTGAAGTGTATTCTGTCCAAATTTGCAGATGATACTAAATTGTGGGACAAAGTGAACACCCCAGAGGGTAGGGAACAATTGCAGACAGACCTAAACAGGTTGGAAAAGTGGGCAGAACACAATAGGATGCAGTTCAATAAGGACAAATGCAGAGTGCTGCACCTAGGGCATAAAAATATCCAGCGCACTTACTGGCTGGGAAGTGACCCTTTCAGCAGCACAGAAGCAGAAAGGGATCTTGGAGTCATAGTAGACTCCAAGATGAACATGAGTCATCAGTGTGACGAAATCATCAGCAAAGCTAACCGCACTTTATCATACATCAGCAGATGCATGACAAACAGAATCAAAGAGGTGATACTTCCCCACTATGCAGCATCGTCAGACTGCAGCTGGAGTATTGCATCCAGTTTTGAGTGCCATATTTTAAGAAGGATGTGGATTACCTGGAGAGGGTCCAGAGGAGGACCACGTGTATGGTTAAGGGTTTGCAGACTAAGCCCTATGAGGAGAGACTAAGGGACCTGGACCTCTTCAGCCTCCACAAGAGAAGGCTGAGAGGTGATCTTGTGGCCGCCTACAAATTCATTAGTGGGATGCAGCAAGGAACTGGAGATGCTCTGTTCACCAGGGCTCCTCTTGGAGTAACAAGGAACTATGGTCACAAACTGACAGAGAGCAGATTTAGGCTGGACATCAGGAAAAAATTCTTCACAGTAAGGGTGGCCAGAATTTGGAGTGCTCTCCCCTACCTTTGGGGTCTTTAAGAGAAGGCTGGATAGGCATCTGGTGGGGGTCATCTGACCCCAGTACTCCTTCCTGCCCAGGCAGGGGGTTGAACTTAATGATCTGTTGAGGTCCCTTCTGACCTTAGCATCTATGAATGTCTGACCCAGGGTATGGGCTGAGCTGTCCTGTGGTAGAAGTCCTCAGAGCTACCAGGCTTTTGAGAAGATTGGAGCTGATCCTTATACCTGACTGGGTTTTACTCTGCAAATGAAGTCAAAACCCTAGGGGGAATCCATGCCCTGTGTTCTGCATTTGTCAGGTTGACTTGTAGGTGTTGCTGCTCAACTGGGGTGATAAACATGGAAATATTTTACTGTGTGAAGACCCATCACTATTCCTCCTATCTGTGTTTTCATGCGTGATGCGTCTTCTCTGTAAATGAATTCTTATGGTCTCATGTACTTTGTTGACCTCAAATACACCAAGGTCTTTTTCAACATTAATGTCTTTGAGGTAACCTAGGATAAAAATAGCCAGCAATCCCTGTGGATATTTCTCTTGACACTGTAATTTCCTCTTGGTATTTCTAACCTCTTTGCATATTATTTCTTTGTCCTATTTGATCAGTGATACTAAGACTGCTTTCGAGTTGCCACTGGCTCCTCAGCGTATCACATAGTAAGACTGTGTTTGGCACTGACTGAAGGCATTGGCTATGTCTTCCTGCAGTCAGGAAGAATGCAACATATCCAACTACCTACTATCATTTTTTTCTTGAACTGGCATGTGTTTGCCATGATTCACCCTGGGGATGTATGTGTTGTGGTGGCTGTTTGGGTAACTCGGACTGTTCTGGTGGCTCGCAGGAATCACTGTACTAGACTATAAGATCCATCTCTTGTTCTGTGTTTATACAGTGCCTGGCATCCTGGATTTTAGCTAGAACTACACACTACCATTTTGTTACTAATATGTCTGCCCATTTACAAGGGGAAGGGGTAAAGAAGACTGCATACTAAACAATCACAATGGTAACACTGTTACCAACTTTGTCTTCATATTTAAGAAGCAGCTTCTGTTAGCTTTCTTAAGCCAAGTTTGCAAAAATGTGCTACTCACCATGACTAACAGGGACAGGACCCAGCCCCAGCCAACACTACAGGAATCAAAAAAGCCCCAGATACTCTCCATATTTCACAAGCTGTTATAAAAGACATCCTGCAGCTGCAGAAGGATCTCTCCCAATCATTGGGAAAGATCTGTACTGACACTCAAATGTGTTAATGGGATAATCAACTAGAAAGATTCATAGCTATGTGGTATCATGTGAATAAGCTTTGAAACCATAGTGGATGAGAACAGTTTGTATTTCCAGATTGCAGACATATCTTATAATTAATAGACAAGAAACTCGACAGTGATTAGGCTACTTTAGTGCTGACATTACTATCAGGTTGACTAATATACAGTCTCCCTGTTTCTCTGTACTCCTCTGTCTATCTGTCTTCCTCTGATGTTTCTTGACTTGCACATTTTTTGGGGCTGGACGGGGGGAGGGATGGGCTGTCTTTTTGTTCTGTGTTTGTACATTGCATAGCACAGTGAAGTCCTGGCCTTCACAAAAAGCCTCCCAGGGCTTGTCTACAATGTGGCAGCTGCAGGTCCTGGCAAAGTAGTTTTGAGCATGCCACATTTATGCCCCACCTCTACAGGCCCACAGGCATGGAGGTAGATTAGTAAGGCCTCTATAGGCCTCTCTATCTGTTCTTGCTCTTGAGCCTCCAGTCTGCGGCAGATCTGAAAGCAGTGGTGAGGAGGAGCCTGGAGTGGCCGCATCGGCAAACTTTCAGGTTTGGAAAATATAAGTGAGTATGGCTGGTTAGCACTTGGGCTCGGGACACTCAGGCCCATTGTTGCTGGGATGCACCATTGCCATGATACAGACAAGCCCTTAGGTACCACAGTAATGACAACAGATAATAGTGACCAAGATTTTGATTTGCCAGACTTCTCTGAGCAGCACACAAGTAGGCTAGTTACAGAAATGCATGTGAGCAAAAAGAAGGGCTGGAGCTATCCTATTACTGCCTCATCTATCCAAACCCATACAAGACATGCTCTTCATTTATTTCCTCTTGCTTGTTAACTGAAAGAAAAAAAAATTGTATGTTAGTACACTATAAAATCCACTGAGGTTTTATAAGCATTAAAGAAGTTAGGTCAGAATTCTCTTCATTCTGCCCTTACTGCATAGAATGGGTCTCTCTGTCTCTCTGGTGAACATGATCCTGCACTCCTTAATCACACCCCTAAACATCTGCAAAAAGATCAGAATTTTTTTTCTGGGGATGGGACAGGACGATCTATTCATTCTGAGCTAATGTATTCAGCTACAGGTTTTTAAAGATTTCAAGACACCAAGCAAATGCCATCCTGGCAAATGGTGTTTAATGAACTTAACTGTGTTGTGTTTCTGCAGGGAGCCTGTACATCTTCATAAGATGTCTGCTTGTCTGTTTTCCAACATTGATGAGAGGTACAATATCAAACACTGTTGACATATAAAGTACCAACATTAGTACCTGAGTTATCCTGTTCAGTGAACCAG